CTGTGCTTGGCAACTGTTTGTCTTTAATGACTTCATCCACTTAACATCTTTATAACAACAAATAACCATTCTGGTATTTTAATTAGACAAAATGGACAATGCTCCTTTTTCTTTTCTGGTTATATTTGAAATCCAGCCTGGCAAATCTAAAAATAAGTATCTGAAACTGGGGGAAATCTGATTCTTTGTAATAAGATTTTTGAATGCCATAGAATAAAAAGCTTTTTAATTAAAGAAAATGTGAAAAAGATAATTGTCAAAAAGGACAATTCACTAAATCTTACTGAACCTACCTGCAAAGCTCTTGTGGTGTTTGCATGTTGCCTCTACCTGAAAACCTCTCAGCTTTAAAATTAAAATTTAGGAAAAGTGCCTTTTGCCAATAGGAATTGCCATCCATGTACAGTCACACGCAGCTTTGTAATTCTTTTTCCCCTCCAAGTATAGTTAATAGCTGAAAACCTGAACATTTCTTCAATCAGGAATACCCAGAGGGAAACAATGACAGGTGGAAAATGTCTGTTCATTATTGTCTCAAAGAACAGTCCCAAGAGAGACAAAGCAGATTTTAGGGAGCAAAATGTCAGTTTTACAGATGAAGATTGTTTGAAACAAGAGTTTGCCAGCAGTGCAGTGGGTGTAAGTGCAGTGGTGACCCAGGCAAGGCTGCCCACTGGCACAACTGCATCCAAACTGGGCAATTTCACAGATTCAGCAGCATCACTGCATATTGTGGCAAAGGTCTAAAAGTGCTGGACAACGTCAGGTAGAATGGACAAAGGTGTAAATGTCCTGAATGTGGTCATGCAGGATGGCCAAAGGCCTCGGTGTGTGGAACACTGCTGTGTAGAGCTGGTCTCAGATGCCCATTTCTTCTGTCATGGTGCCCAACAAGGACTTCAACATCTGCTGTGTATAAATATATTGTGAAACCAAATACCATGGCGTATTAGAGAGGATAGGTGGGGGTGTGGGTTCAATAACAAAATGGAAAAAAAATAGTAGAGACCTTACCTGCTGACAATTACTCAGGGGTGAATTTCAGGAGAGGAGCTGCCCAAGCAGCCTTTTGAAATGTAGCCTCAGCTTCCACTAACCTAATTGTCCTGCTTGGGTACTTGTTTTCTCACCAAAAACAGGATATGGATTTTAAAAGACAGAGCTTGCTGTGTCTCATCAGGAGAGGACAGCCTTCCTCTGTCTTGAGCAACAACCAAGAGGCTTCACAAGCAGGATGTGGAGCAGAGCAGTGTGTGTGGACATGTTATGGCAGTGTTTCATCAGTCTGAATAGGTTTACCTTGCCCATAAAAAAGGGTTGAAGCAGTGATTAACATGTTGGGTTTTAGTTCTGTGAATATTTATTTTCAGGGAACATGGAAGTATTGAAGGAATCCTGCAGCATCAGCTGTTACATCATTGCTGCAGGTCTGCTGATGACATTCAAACTGTTTTTTTGTTATGGTCTTTTTCTTTAGAAATGCTCATTGTAACAAAGTCCCAGATGAACATCTGGCCCTCCTCAATCAAAAAATGAGGCACAATCTCAAGGAATTAGCCCAGTGCCTAAGTACATGCCTTTGAGAGTGGGGACTCGGTGCAAAGGACTTTTGGGGAGGGCTGGGAGATAGAGTAATAAGCAGAAGCAATTTGTACGTGTGCATTTCCTGAGAGTAAAATCATGGATCTTATTATTTGAGCAGTTTCCTTATTCCTCTGCAAGTCTGGGAATAAACATTTATTAGGGAATTTTCTGCTAGGATCCCTTTGTATTCATTACTCTGGTTGGCAGAGGAACAGCCAGCCTGCGTTTATATCCTGACTCTTAAACATGTTGTTAGCTGTTACGTGCCTCTCTAAGTGAGGGATCAGAGGCTTAGCTGTAAATATGAGGAAGGCTCAGGATAAAGCTGCGTATACAGACTTAACCCGAGGTCACAGCTCCGTGAGAGCGCCTTTGCCGCGGGGTTTTGTTGTTCATTGAGACCTTCTCCTGCCCTCTGCTGGCAGTTCCCTGCTAGGGGACAGGCATGCCCTTACACTACTCCCGGGATAGTTACCTGTGCCAGCTTGCTGCTTGCAGTCTGCTTTGCCAGAGGGATTTGAATTCCTGTCATTAATGAAATTCCTTGTCACAGGTAGCTGCTGTGCCCACTGCATTTATCTGAATGTTATATGAAGATGCATAAAGTACAATCATTTTGGTCTTTGAAAATCATCTCAATGTATAAGCTATCACCCAGGGTTCAGTTACTCTGTCCTTCAAAACTCTATTTACTTTCTGAAGTAAAGTTTCTGATTTTTGGCAGGCATGCTCATTTGCAAAGTCAAGTACTTGAGTTCAGAAATGCCAGCATTGAGGATGCCTGTGCTATTTTAATGCTACTCTTGCCATCTTGTGTTTGATGCCTGTATGTATTAGAATGCAGTTTTCCTCCACTGTTTTATTGGTAGGTTGTTTTCTTTTTCATGTTGGTATATTGCATATGTAATGATCATAATTCCATGTATTTGTAGTTTCACCTGTGACATAGACAAGTGTGGAATGCTGTTCTCCAAAAAGCCTTTAAGTAAAGTTTTGTCTACTTTTCAGTTTCAGAAAGAAAGTGCAAGAAGCACTAATAACTTTGAACTTAGTTCAACTCTTGTGCACTGAATGAATAAGCAAAGGGACCTAAAAGGAAAAAGTGTAATATATATATATGTAAGAACAGGCAAAATAAAAATTGTAGAGACTGTTTCAATTTGGATACATTCTCGTTCCTTTAATATTTGACATCACAACTTTGATCATCTTATAGTATTTTCTGAATTGGGTTGAGATATTCAAATGCTTGAGAATGCCAACCTGAAAAATTGTGCATCATCTTTGGATAGCAATGGGGTTGTGAGCAAGGCTTTTAGATCCACTTTTACACTTTTCACTTTTGTGTTTGTGAAGCAATCAAAGTAGTGATGAGTTAGCTGTGATTTTATTGATAGGCATAATGGGATGCATTTTTGCTGGTGGATTTCTCAGATTACTGTAAGCCAGGAGAGTGATGAGAATCAGTGCAGGATTTTGTGAACATAGTTCATGGACATGAACTCTCTTGCTGTTTCTTTCCATCCCTCCATTTGTCCCCATTCTAGTTTCTGTACTTTAAGTTCCACCTCTCCATCTGAGTTACATCCTTTGCCACAGAAGACCATAACTTATGCCTCGGTTTGTTTCTTTCCTTCTCCAGCCTCCTTGTTCCCAAGCTCAGTCTTCTATCTTTGGGCTTTTGATCCACCAGAATTTCACATCCCTCTGCTGTGTCTAGCATGAGTTGTAGGTTTTATGTTTGTTTGACTTTAAGGCCACTGAAAAGCTTTCCATTGGAGCTGTGAAATACCTATGCTGATTCACCTTCTTGGCTCCTTACTGCAGGCCCTTTCAAAGCAGTAACAAAACTTTGCCATGGCTGCTTTACTGAGCTGCCACCTCTTGTCTCCTTCTCCCTTGTCAAATCTGAAAATAAATGTCAGCCAAGTGAGCAAACAAGTGGACTAGTATAGAAGTAGGATGAGTCTTTGGAAATAAATAAATAAATATGTATTTGACCCACAAATTGAGTTGTAATTAACCACCTGGGAGCTATAATCACATTTTTCCAGGGGCCTGGCTGCCTTCAGATAATTGCAGTCTGTATGTGCTGAGGAGGATTAGAGATGGTCTTTGAAGGTGCTGCTTGGGGAAAAAGCAAGCTGTTATTGTAATGGGGGACAGCTGAGACCTGCCTTTGTCACTGAGGCTGGCTTTCACCTTTCCTACACAACTGTGCATTTTAGAGAAAGGTACTTCCTATGCAAAATCCTTGCTCCCACAGACAGGATATCTTTGGAAAGGAACCTGCAAGTGTGATGTTTTAGGAAGGTAGTTGGGGTTACAGTCTATGTAAGTTTTCCATTCATATTTATCTGATAAAATTAACAGGTGCAGTTCTCAGAGCAAAAGGAAGGGGACCTAATTAGAATTCAGTAACTCAGTAGGGAGCCCAGATAATGACTGCAAATTATGTAAACTGTGCTGTGAGACACCATGCCTGTTTGCACTGCTTACACCTCAGGAGATCGTGAGCAGGGAGGGAAGGGAGGGCACTGGAGGTGTTTTAAGAGAATGCCATCCCCTGGATGGTCTGTCAAGGCACTCACTGGTGACCTTTTTCCTGCTGTTGCATAAGATCCATCTTAGGTCCCTTTGATGCTTGTTCCAGGGCATGCAGGCAGGTGACCCTGAGGCACCTGGTGTGTCACACTCTGCCTTCCTGCCTCCTTAAATTGGGCTTTTCAGCTGCTCATGCTGTGCAAAGAGCTGGGGTGTCTGAATCCCAGACACATCCTTACAAAACATCCTTAGGCAACTGGTCCTAGACAAGTATCTTACTTTTAGATACCAGCTCCAGGAGGAAACAAAGTGTTTCCTGCCTGGGAAAGAGGGCAGCAGGGCTGCTGCTTCTGTAGCCTCCTCCAGCAGTAATTGCTGGTTGTTGAAATGCTGAGCAAGCAAGGAAACTGGGGGGCTGTGGTCAGCCATAAATATAAAGGCTGGGACTCCATAGCTGCTCACTGCTTTTCTGAGCTACCTTTTCCTACCTAGCCAAAACATTTAAAATGAGCTTGTTAACAAAGATAAATGCATGTTAATTGCATCCTTACCGTTTTTCCCAAGGAAGTTTCAGGCTCTGAAACAAGCACTAACAGTATGCTTGTTTGCCCTGAGAAGAGGGGTCAGGCATTTGCAGTGAGGAGCCGTGCTTGGAGTTCAGCAGTGAGTGGGAGACTGTGCTCAAGAGGTGCCCAAATCCCAGCTCATTAACCTGCCCACATACAACAGCAAAATTGCTTTTGTTATTGGAGTTGTTAAATGCAGTAGTTATGATTTCTTTTTGATGGATTCTTTTAATTTCTTTTGGATCCTTCTTTAGTTTTGCTTCACAGCTTTTTAAGGCTTTTTTTTTTCCCTCCTTCTGTCTTCAGCTATTGATGGATTTCTAAAAACTGATGAAAGACAAAGACTGGCAAAGGAAAGAAGAGAGGAAAGGGAGAAATACCTTGGTAAGTTGGCAGGAGGTGTATCTATTATTTATATACAACTTTTAATAGGCTTAACTAACTAACATAGCATTTTTTGTGTTCTGATTTTTAAATCTTGTTATTCATTCTGTTCCTAGTCTTTACCACTTCTTTTAAATTATAAAAGATAATATTCTTGCATTTCCAGTCAAATATTTTGTATTTTATATTTACAAGTTTACTTTCTTCTTTGATTTGTGTGCCTTTGAATATAGGCTTATGTTCAAGACACTGTTATGATTGTGGTTTGTGAAAATCCCAAATAAGCCTTGAATAATACTCAGAAAAATATGTAAGATGATTTGATAAAGCAACTTCAATTTTAATCTCTTTGGTTTTAGCTATATTGAAATATATAATAGAGTTTTTAAGTGCAGCATTGAAGTGTGTGCTTTTCTGGAAGTTGTAAAATGGTTAATCTTTCAGGAGAATGCTTATGTTATTCAGGAACTGAAGAATATTTTTTATCAATGATTTCAGATTTTGTTTAAAACAATCACTTATTTTTAATCTATTAATATGACTAGGGAAATGTTGAGATAATTGTAAAATAGATATGTAAAAAGTATAAATATATATTTAAGGGGAGTGGGTGTATACACAATTAAAATATACATATATGTCTGTGTGTATACATATATATATACACTTAAATTTAAATTTTCTGTTCAACATTGATTTGGACTTCCTATATCTCTCTGTGTATATAAAAAGCTGTTAAACAGTTAACTTCACTTTTCCTCATGGTAATGACAAGAAAGATCAGTAGCACTGTTCCTAGAGATAACCTGACAATACCTGGCAGAAGGAATTGTCAGCGTTTTATGATTTTTGCAAAATTTAAGGTAAACATATATTTTGAGGAAATGTCAACTAAACAAGTATGGGCACCTGTCAAAATAATCATAGGAAAATACTGTTTTTCTTGCAAGAAATAAACAGACTGTTGACTATTTCTTTGCAAAGTCTGGGGCTTGAGACCAGTGACTTGACATTTTTTCATTACCATGGGCTTGGTCCGCACGATTCCTTTTGGTAATTTGGTAAAAATCTGCTGCTCTTTAGTACTTAATCTTGCCCAAGCTTCTGTCTATCTCAGATTTTCTTCTCTTCCAGGTATGCTCAGTGTAGGTTATTCTCTTCTTTCCTTCTGATTATCCCTTCTTTTCTGGTTCCCAAGAAAGTGATATGGTGATTAGATTGGAAAGGACTCAAAGTAGAAAAGATGAAAAGGAAACTGAAACCTGGAGATTTTGGGAGTGATTGGCCCAGGGGATTTGGAAGGTGGTGTCTGCAATTTTCTCCCAGGCATCATATATGCCTCCTGGAAGCATATTCTTAAGACCATTTCTGTAGTGGGGAGCTTTGAGTTTTGGTCACAATTTGATTGTGAGAATTTTCTTTTAGAAGTTCAGAAAAAAGCAGCATGTTCCCCCAAGGGTCAGCTCTTTGAGCAGTCAGCAGGTACTGTATGAAGTAACTTTTTCACCTGAGCCAAAACTCATTAATCAGTGGTTTAGCATCCCTAAATTAAGCAACAAGAATTGTACATGTGTCCATGATGATAGAATTGTTTACTTCTTTGTCCAGAATCAGTCCCAGGTTTCACCTGCTTACTCAGAAGGTAATCTTAGCACAATCTCTGGACACCTCACTTTATTTTTGGTTTTTATGGACTCCAGCATGCTTTGTCACCTGCTCTACCTGATGTGGCTAGCAGTTGGAGCAGTTCATGCCTGGTCACTTGTTATCCACTGTCTCTGAGGTAACTTTTTCTGTTGACAAGTCTGAACTTCATGCATTCAGTCCAGGTTCACTGCATCACTGACACTCCCCTCATACTGCCCTGTCTTGAGTGGGGAGGATGAGTGGATTTTCATAGGATAGAAGGGAAAGACAACACCAAGTGTATTTCTGACAAGAATAAGCTAGAAGGTATTCTGGAAAGCAGGCTGGATTTGAGGATGAAGTATTGTAGAAGGATTCTGTATTCAAGGGAAAGAAATGGAATGTTGGAAAAGGATCTGGGTGTTGGGAAGACTCTGGCTTTCACCCAAGGGAGAGAGGATGGAGTGGGGCTAAGAGGGACAGAAAGTCACAGCTGTGGTTAAAGCCTGGGGGCAGGAACTGAGGGGGAAAGGCTGGTCTGGAATGGCTGGACAAGAGCCTAGGAGCAGTGGGAGAGTTGGAAGGGTGATGATGTGCTACAAAAGGAAACAGGAACTGAAGAAACACAGGCATAAGTGAGCAGGAAGAAGGAGTAGCTTTTTTATAAACACTGTTGATTCTGGCTTTCCCTGACTTTCAAGTTTTTAGCCTAGCAATATTCCCTCTTTGATATTGGCTGTATGTGTGTTGGTATGTGACCCTACGGGCTTGTGTGTGTATAGGCATGCTTACAGACCTCCTCTTTCCTGCCTTTTTATGGAATACACTTGCATGGGAAATGGATTTTTCCTCTCAATTTGCCACGTTAACTCCTGCTACTTGTTTTATGTACACCTGAAGCAGCAGTCCAGTATCTGTTGTTGCAGTTTGAGTTTCTGAAACATCAGGGTAATGTCCCATGAAGATTATTGCTGCAGTTGGAATAAACAGCTGGGCAAAACCTCAGTAACAGAAGTAATTTTTTTTTCATATGAAAAGGTATAAGTGGGTAAAGATGTAGCACCAAATAATGAGCTGAAAGAAGTATATTCAAAACTCCATAGAAAACACAGAATATGTTGTTTACATGTGTCTATTTTAAAGGCAGCTCTGTAATAAGAAGCACAGTTTTAAGGAAGTCCCAAGGGCTTTTGCTTCAACAAATACAGCCGATTTCCTTCAAAGATTACTAGGAGCAGTATGTCTGAAAAAATAATTTGGCTTTCAGCTTCAGAGGGACTTGAAACATGAAAACATTGCTGATTTGTTCTGTACACTGTTTTTTACATAGATGAGAGGTACAAACTGGCACCTTGTGTACAAGGGCTTCCCTCTTTATGTACTGAACAAATTGCTTAGATTTACTAATCATTTCAACACTTCTGTGCACTATATTTTCAATCTCAGTCAACTAAAACCCTGTGTACTTGCATTTGTTGTTTTACACTATTGTTTCATGTTACCAAATAATTTTAAAAGAGAAGAGAATTTGCATGATGTGAAATGCACCTTTTTCTCTGCACAAGCTGCTAGGGAGCAGCAGATACTGGAGAAGGAGAGAAGAGCAAAACTTCAGTATGAGAAGCAAATGGAGGAGCGATGGAGAAGGCTGGAGGAGCAGAGGCAGAGAGAGGAGCAGAAGAGAGCAGCTGTTGAAGAAAAGCGGAGACAAAAGCTTAAAGAGGAGGAGGTGAGGTCCCCTGGGAGATGTATGGCAGCACTGAACAGGGCTGAATATTGACATGCATTAAACCATGGGGGGTGGGAGCAGGAGACATGGGAGCAATTACTGCAGGAGCTGCAAAGCACATCACCACAGCTCTAAGGAGTCTACCACTGTACATCAAAAACACTTTCCAATACAATTTTTTAAATTTTTTATGATCTCCTGGAATAGTCATCTACCGTTGCTAACATATCTGGGACTCTGATTGTCAAATATAAAACACCACCTTTCTGAAAGGAAATCTTTAAAGATGAGTGTTTCCAAAAAGGGAAAGATTCTTCTTACTGTTCTGTTTACTGTCCATGAAAAAGAAATCATGTGCTGTTCCATTTTTCCTCGGTGACAGAAACTCAGAAATTTGTACTTAAAGCAGTGAAGAATCTAGGCTGTTTTCAAATTCTAACATAAAACAGAATCACGTATTTTTAAGCATCTTCATGCCCTTCCTCTCTTCTGGGCTCCCTGCTGAGATCATTTAAGGTTCTTTTTTTGCTCTAGTGAGTCCAATTTCTGGTGCAGCTCTCTGAATGCAGGGTGTGTGTGTATATCCCTGCATGACATTATGTGGAGAACACTAGCACTGCTACCCGCAACTGATAAAGAATTAATGATTTTTGGAAAAGGGGGCAGTGGTTTAAAAAAAAAGCCCAAAGAAAATATTTTCTCAATTCCTGGATAAAAAAAGCTTTAGAAATCCACAGTTCTTAACCTCCCTTTTTCTGCCCCCCTATCCTTTCACCAAAATAACTTTGCAAAACAGGTAGAACACTTCTTGTGCATGATTTCACAATAACATACAGCTATTCATTGAATTTTTTGTTTGATTTTTCACTTTACTTGAAGAGAAGATTGCATCCTGTCATTTGTTGTTCAACTTTAACATACTCATTGTGGTTTCTATGTAATGGCAGAGAATTAATTTAAAAATATTTTATTCTGTGTTTTGTTTCAAATTCTTTTTAAGAAAAATGAGAAAAAACTGAAACAAAGGGTAGGAGGTCTCTCTCTTGTGGGAACAGCATTGAAGTCATGTGCTCCTTCCCCAGCATTTCCTGCTGTAATAACCTTCTGCAGCTAAGCAAAATCAATTCCCTTTGTGAGGGTTGTAAAGGGAAGGAGCAGAAAAACATCCAAAACCCTCTCTTCAAAATATTCAGCAGAGCAGGTCAGAAAGGCAGAGGGGTGTAGGAAGAGCAAGTATCCACCAGTTTTCCCTGCATTCATGGTTTGCCTTTGCTGCAGAAATGAGAGCAGAGTTGTTGGATGTGAGAGGCAGTGACAGGTCAGACCCAAGGCGTCTGTTTAGTGGGGGCTGACCCCATCTCCTGTAGTGGCCTCCTGTACTTCCCAGAGATGGAATAAGAGCCTGAGCACTCTGTGATGCTTTCCCCAAGCACCAGTGAGCCTGATCCAGCTCCTCAGGACCCTGCACGTGTGAGGGCACACTTCTGTAATGGTGAGGGAGAGGCTGATTCCTAGTGCTCAGTCATGGTGTGAGTACCACTCCTAGCTCTGCTCACCAGGCTGGTCCCTTATGCTTAAAGTGTCCAAAGCCTTTTTTGGAAGCTAAAGCAGGCCTGGATCTGGATTCTTACCCTTTTCTTCCCACTCCTCTACTCCTCCAGGCTGAGGAGTCTGAGAGAAGGCTATGTGGGCAGGAGGACAGGAGAGGATGCTTGTTTGTTTGGGGATGGATTAAACCTGTGGGAGGAAAGTTCAGGAGCCTCAGAAGAGGATGCACAGGGAAATAGTCTATAGAACAGGGGAGAGTGAGAGAAGAAGGAAAATGGGAATAGAAGGCATCCCTCCTAGCTTCCCTTCACAGTTTCTTGTCCTTCATTTTTTAAATTCTGTTTGAATTCTGCTAAAGGATCTGCCAGTTTTCATTCCACCTTCCCCAACTCTTGTTATTGTGATGGACCCCTCAAACTCTCGTGCATAATAACAGTGGAGGTCTGAGTAAGGATGGTGATGAACTAGCAGCTCCCTGGACATTTGAGTTACTCACTGCTTGTGAGTAATTTTGTCCATTTAAGACTGTCTTTATTGGAAGAGCTTTGAACATGTATTTCCACCTCCTGGGTGTGGGGGTGGATGTGCCCTGCCAGAGAGCCAGTGTGTCCTGCACCATCTTCTCAGTGCTTCTCCTTTTAAGACCAGTTAACACTGGCTGGGTAGTGGACTACCAATTCTACTTGCTCATCAGGTGTCTGAAATGACAATTAGAGAGATTTTCTTGCTCTCTGTCTTACTGGTTGTCCTTTATAGTTTCCCTGAATTATTTTTCCTTGTCTTTTAAACAGAGCAGAAAGTAGCGCACATTCATGATAGGAAGAGGTGATATAAAACTCTCTGTACAAAATACTGTTGTTGCATCTGAAAGAACCTGGGAGGAATAGATCTTAACAAACTGGTGGGGACTTGTTGGCTCCTATATCAGAGCATCCTGTGCTTGACTGTTTTGCTTGCAAAGGACTTCTTAAAGTGGTGGCTAAAATTTGATTTATTTTGCTTAGTTTTCCCCCTCTACAATGCCAGATAAAGGATGATGGTTTTAAACTCTCTCTTGGTAGAAATCAAGGTATTCTGTCAGAGTTTTTTGGGGCTGCTGGAGGTTGTTGCAGAGCACAGTAAAAGTGTCAGATTCTTCAGAAGGAACTGAATAAATAATGTTTAGAAATTTTTCTGTCTATATTGACTGCATCTTTCTTATCTACAGAGGTCTTCTGTATCACTGCCCTTCCCTTCGTATTACTTTTAAAGCTGTGCACTTCTTTCAGTAAAAGCAGCCTTGAGGAAAGCAGTGTGTTGTTCTACAGAAGTGATTTAAAAGTTTCTTTTAACAGGGAACTAGACAAAAGTAAAGCTAGTCCTTTTTCAGTTAAAGTAATTCTTTCCCCTTTCCTGTCTTGAACTTCCACGTAACTTGGAAATAGCTTGTAAATAGATGTCTAGCTGTACACAAGTGGTTGAGAAGAGATTGTTTGGTGCATGTGCACTTTGTTACATTTGTAAAAAGTATGTGCTTTGGCACAAAAGAGTGAAAAACTGTCAAGATGTTGTAGCTTTAATTACTTCCTGTACTCCACTCCAAAGATGAAGCCAACTGATAACCTCAGGAAACAGTGAGCTACTTGCATACAGTGCTATACGTAAAATGAGGAGTAAGAGATGGTTTGGGCCTCTTTCAGATGTTTGTCTTGTAGATATAAGGAGATTGGTTTAGAATTATTTGCACAACTTATTTTAAGTCAAAATACTTCAAACATTTTTTATTCCTTGTCACATCTGTATTATATTTTACCCAGAAAAAAGAAAATAACTTATTTGTGAGAAAACAAGTCATTTGTCTGAGTTTTTGGGGGTGGGTTTTTGTTTGCTTTTAATTCAGACAGTACAAGTGCTTATTCTATTGCTCAGGCTGAGGAAAACTTGCATGAGTAACTGGATTTTGGAAAGTAATGTGTATTTTAGATGTTAGCAGTATATGGCTCTCTATTGTGATTTTATTCGTTCTTAGTTTAACCTACATGCCGTGCTTGTGCATTATAAGGTTTGTTGGGAAAATTCAATATATCTTGAGAGCAGACATTGTTTCCTCTATTTGTAGCTGTTAGAGTTCCCAAATGAGATCACATGCATAGTCTGATATGATTTCAAGAAAGTGCTTCACCTATAACATAGACTGGAAGGGTTTTCTGCATTGTTTGCTGATGAAGGAAAGCTTTGTCTTGTGGTTTAGTTTTCATCATGGAACAAATTATTAATGTATGAGTTGTTTATGCTATGCTTGCTTATGTCTTATTATTTTCTTTGGCTTTTTAGTTCTGTGCCAACTTAAAATGCTTTTAATAACTATCCTTTCTTTGTGAAAAGCAGCCTTCGTATTGTTCTTTATCTAACCTATATCTGCAGAGGTTTTGTGAGTTTTAATAATTGTATTCTATAGTACTCTAATGAAAGGTTCTTTGCAAATGGAAATGAATGATCCTCTCCAAATAATGTAACTGAAGATTTCAACCTCAGATTGTTGGTAGCATGGGCTTTCAGATGTGTATGAAATGTAATTTAATGTCTTTAATCTATTTCAGCATGAATTTTATTCTTGAAACAATATTTTGATAGTAGGTGGTATAAGTGTATTCTGTGTTTTGCAAGCTGTAGAATATTGCTTACTCCAAGCATTGTTAAAAACCCTCAAACAAGACAGCAAACAGAAATAATTGAAACATGACTGCTTTAGTCTTATGTTTTTTGATTAATGAATAACAATATTCATTAGAAATGGAAAAAAAAGTTTCTGGGTAAGAGTATACTTTAATGAGAAAGAAATGGGAGGGTGATTTTCCTTGGTAAAAAATGTGGGTAGAAGGATAGACTGGGGCAAGCTGCATAGTAGAAGACAGTGGTGAAAAGAGGCACACTGCAGAGAGGAACTGGTGATGGAGTATGTGAGGTTTGGAAAGACTAACAAAAGGGGCTCAAACAGAATTAAGTTAGAGAGGTGGAGAGCTAAAGGTGGAAAAACACAAACTTGTAAGCAAAGCCTGCGCACACAGGATTTAAATGTGAAACTTGTATCATCGAGTAGTAAGAGAAGAAAGAAATTCTGTAACAAACTAAAGCAGGGAGGACTGGCTTCATATTCCAGAGAATGGGGAAAGGGTGTTTCCTTTTCACAGGCAGGGTGTGTGTAAGAAGGGAATGGGGTGTTCAGGCTGTGGGGGTTTCTGTGCTCTTGCAGAAGAGGCTGCGCTTGAGCCTTGTGGTGCTTCCTTCATTTGCTCTGCAGGGACAAGGAAAGAGGCAGAGCTCTCATTTTCATGCCTGCCTGGACACTGATGGCACTGAGTAGACAGAGGAGGGGGATGAAGGGGGGAGGGGGCAGGGGAGCAGCTGCCTGCTCTCAGTGGCCTTTGAATGATGTTACCTGATAGAACGTGAGCTCACAGCACCACTGAAAGCTCCTCTTCCTGGGCACAGCAGCAGAAACAGCAGGGTGGGTCACCTGGCCAAAAGGTAACAAGCACAGGAGAGCTGGGAATGATAGAGGGTGCAAGAATTTCCTTTTTTCACTCTTTGTATAGAGGGTAATAGAATATTTTATAGAGTAAGTGATTTGTAATAAAATTAGAAGAGAGCTTAAAGATTAAAAAGTAGTGGCTTGCTGTTGATACTGATGGATAACTGGTAGCAGGGTTGGGTGAGGTGGAAAAAATAAGCTCAGAAATAAATTCCTGCAAGTCATGGTAGTAGAAAAGAGTCTTCAAAGATGTGAAGAGGCAGAAATATATTTTAGATAACCAGAAGTAGATGAGGGGACATCAGGCAGTGTAGAAAGTCAGTGACCAGGGTCAGAAGCCCAGGGGGGTAAGACAAAGTTTACAGGTACATGTATAAAGTATGGAGGTTACTGGAGGTGCCTGATGTTAGGGTCTGATGTGCTGAAGGAGCTCCATCAGAGACAACTGGCTCAGCACCAGTGCAGAGCCTGAAGGAAACACACTTAAACAAAGACTGAATTTTTTTGGTAAAATAGCTCAGGAAAGCCAGACCAAAGGTATTAATCAGTGAGAGAAAGTAATCTGGCCAAGAGATGTATGAAGGGTTTTCCACACAATTTATCTGAGCTGCCAAAAGATATTGGAGATAAAAATCAAAATGGGTATGATGTAATCACAGGAGCCTGCAGGATCCAGTTTGAAGTGGATAAGAGTGGGAGTTTTATACTAGACCAAAGGGACATAGCAAAGGTAATAAGGAATAGCACCAAAAATACTAATAGGATCAAAGGGCTAAAACTATCTGGGGCAGGAGCTGGAGGCAGCAAGAGTAGACTTATCTTTCACAGTAGGGGTTGGGCTGCTGAAATGTGAGGGTGAGGAGGTTGCCAGATGCGAATGAGGTGCTGGGAGGAGGAAGGGAAAGGCTGTTGGATGATGGAATTGTGGGTGGGGAAGAACCACATTTTATCTGCTTGAAAGGAGGAAAAGAAAAAGTGCAGGGATCATTGCCACAACAATAAATCACGGAGAAACTAGCAGAGGGAGGAGGTGGGAATGAAACTCAGTGGAGGTTTTTGAGAGTCAAGAGGTGATGGAGAGGGAATAAAGCGACCATATTGAGCTGTAAGTTAAAGGTAGAGCAAGATTTGGGGAGAGAAAAAATTAATTCTGTTCTTCCCCCTGTGAAAATCCTAACTCATGGAGAAGAACATGGGAGTGGCAGGGGGAAAAAAGGAAATCTTGGGAGCAGTATGAGGTAGGCATGCACTAAAATAAATGCACAGAGAAGAAAAAAAATCAGAAGGTCTTAAATGCCTAGATTTAAGAAACATAAAAGAAGAAAGGAGGGAGTTTTTGTAAAAATAAATAAATAAGTAGGGCATCCTGCAAAGTAACCTACTTTGGGTTTGAAGTGATCATTTATCTGAGTGACTAGGTGGAGCCACTGGCATTGCAGCAATTTAACTGTGCTCAGAAAGGGATGGGAAAAATTCTGATGTCTGCATAGACAAGAAGGAGTTAATGCTTGGTGAGCATTATTCTTATACAAATTAAGTCCAGAGCACAGCAGCAGCCTCACCAGCAGGAGCAGATGCTAGGCAGTGATGCAACCTGTGTTATTTACTTAGGCCTCTGTAGTGACCTCAGTGGCTTGCAGACAAAGGATACTCATATCTGGAGGTAGGTAGCATGCTGATCCCTTCTTTATTCAGTTCTTTTTCTTTTCTTGTGAGCAAGCTCCTGTAAGCATCTTGTGTGGAGCAACAGGGAGACTGTGTATTTTTAGCATGGTTTCAGCAGGCAGGGGAAGGAAGCCCCCAGAGAACTGGCTGGGATTTGTGTCTGACGGGGTTTGTACCAAATTCCCAGGAGCGTTTAGAAGCCATGATGCGCCGGTCCCTCGAACGCAGCCAGCAGCTGGAACAGAAGCAGAAGCGATGGTCGTGGGGAGGAGCACTGGCTGCAGGCTCAGGAGGCAGAGATGGTGAGTGAAACAGGCTGCCTGCATTGCAGATCTGCAAGTGCAAAATGCATGAGATTGTGGAGATAGTAAGTATGATGGGTTTAGAGTCAGGGTGGTACCGCTGCCTTGGGGCGTGAATAAGTGCTTTGTAATTGCTTGCCGGGTTTCCTCTCCCTAATACCTTCTGTGGAGACGGGTTCCTCCTAACTTTAGGAATGCAGATCATTTTAATAGAGTAAGCAGCATCAGTTGGGAGGATGCTAAATGCTAAGATTAAAATTGGTGCACTGTCTCCCTTAATCGCTTCTTCCACATTGTCTTCTTATGCACACAGTTAGAAAATTTAATATTCACCAAAGGACTGAGTGCTGTCTAAGGCTTGCAAAAGATGTTCTGTTTTTGTTTAGTACTTCTAAAAACCTGATGGGAATTTCTAGATGACTATGCAGCATGTGCAGTTGAAAATAGTTTGTGTTTTTTCCCCACGTACATTCTGTTACTGCTGTTTTGGCTTTGGCTTCAGAGGAAATTCTTTTTGTTACATAATGAGTCATGTGCTGCATTTATATTTCAGAAAGGTGCATGTTTTCTCTTTTAAAACATAAAATTTATTTGAATTTATCTGGTTTGAATAAACTGCTGTGATAGAGAAAAACATCCATGTTTGGGTGTTGATGAAATATAACAATTACTCTCTTTTAAACAGTGTGTAAGTGTACTTAACTTTAAAAAGACAAACTGTTTCATATCATATTTTTCATGATATGTCATTAAAAAAGCCAGGAAATTATAATAATGAAAAAGTCTCTTGTACTTTGAGAAAGAAACCAGTTTCCTTTGTGATACAGTTTGTACTTAATTCCAGCTCCCCCAACTTATTCAGTAATTTCTTTCACTTCTTTTTGCTCTGATTTCTCTGCTGTGTAGGTGAATCAGAAAATACCCCACCCCCTGTTCTAGGTTTAGCTGCCAACACCCTTCCTCCAGACCCTGTGACCTCTACTGCTCCTGCTGATTCCTTCAATGGTATTTCAGAGAATCACAGTACCATTGTGTCTTGTTTATAACTGTTCTAATCACTGTAATCCATCCTCTGATTCTTGTTCTTCTTAACCACTGTTTTCTTATCATTTCAGTCTGCTACTCTACAGCATTACCCTTAGTGATGTAGACCAGTGTCTTTTAATTTCCTTTTAATTTTGCCATGGTGGAGCAGTGCATGCCTCACATTCCAGCATAGTAGAGGCATTTCATGGTTTTCTCAGTAATTGTAGACTTCTACTGCTCAGATTTTAATTTTTTTCAATTCTGTGGGTGCTCTGTGTGTGTGTGTGTGTAAGTAATTACATGTATATTTGACCGTTCTAATGGATGTGCACTGGTGCTGCTGAGAAAAATTTCACTTGCACAGTAAGAAAATGTGTTATGAAGACCATGTTTCATCAAAACAGCCCTCTTTTTCCATCTCAAGGGCCTTCTTCTGCAATATTTTGAAAACAAGAAAATTTGGTACAAACAGCCATGTTATGTTTTCAGCTTCCTAGAATGAATTATGACCAACTCAAGTGGTTGACTTTGTTTAAGCAATCATGTTTTCTACTGTTCAGGTTTAGTTTGTTTTTGTTTTTTGTTTTTGTGGTTTGTTTTTTTAGTGGTGTTTTATTAGTGGTTTTTTTATTATTATTATTATTCCCATAAAAGGGCTCTGAAGTATGAGTTTTTCAAACTAACAAATGGATTGCATGTTGGATTTCAAATTGAAAATGTGATTTCATGATTGCAAATGTACTTGGTAGTTTGAAAAGAAAGCACAGCCTGTGCTTTTGAGAAGTAGATTTGTTCTCTCCCCCAAAGGAGGACTTGTTTATCTATTACTCCTGCAGAATTCACAGTAAATACTGTTCTGCCTATGATCTCACAGAATTAATATTTCTGTGCAAACATATTCAATTTTTTTACTGATTGTTGTTCATATGCAAAGGTATTTGCCTGTGCAACTGATGTTTTGCAGCATACCAGCATTATATATGCTTTTTTAAAAAAGGAAATGTAGTGAATTGCATTGTTTACTGTAGCAGATGCAGCCAAATCTTGGAAACCCCACTAAGGCAATGATTTGATGGACATAGTAGGGAATGCAGTAACCCAAAAGATGCAGAATTAGGGTTGCATACATGTCTCTAGCTGAAAATAGTTTTGCTTTTGAAAGAAATAAAATTCAAATATAGGGGCAAAGCGTCTGTGCTTTTAGCTTCTGTGTATCATACAGTGATCATGAGGTACTAGTACTCTGCTAATACTTAAATAAGATTTCTCTTTCATTCACTTGAATAAATCCCAAGGTAGGAAATTTATATTATGCTCAAGCAGACTTTATCAAATAGTATTTCAGAAGAAAGATACCAAAAAACCTCTGGTTTTTTGTTTGTTTGTTTTCTTTAGTTCTTCTCAAGCACAGAAAGATAAAGCCAAATGGCTGATGCCAGCTCAGTCATTAAAACAGCGAGGTCTTATATAGATGCAGGAGTATTGCTTATGTCATTTTTTTATTAGAGTAATGTCTGATGTGAACTTCAGCTCTTCCAGACTGAAGGTAGAGGAGAGGGGGAATGAAGACGAGCTCAGAGTTGCCATGTATGCAGTTTGTTTTCTTTGGGTGACTTTATGCTTGTGCTGATATATAATTATTTATCAGTGTCAGTATAAAAAATAGGCTTTTGTGAAACTGGAATGTGAAATTCACAAGCAGAAAAGCTGCATGCCAAAGCATGTGTCATAGGGTGCTGGTCCTCAGTGGTCACAAAGAGCTCATCTCTGTGAAGAGAGCTGTGGCCACAATCTTGTGCCAGTTCAGCGCTATGATCAGTGCAAGGCCACAAGTACAGATGCAAGGTTAATTTTTGGAGTTTATCAACGCTGTGGTGTGAATACAAATATCTTCAATGCGTTTCTCTGCAGCATGTGACAAACTTTCAGCTTCTACAATGAATCTGCCAAAGCAAATGGAGTCGCCGATCAGTAAACGCCTCTCGTCCTCCACAGCGGCCATAACGCACTCCCCCGACAGAGGCAAGTGAACCTGCTGGTCTGCTGCCAGCATCAACCCTCCTCCTGCTTAGAGCACTTCTGCTCCATAGAGCTTTGGGCTTTGCTTATGTTGTTATTCACACATCTGAGAGATTCTGTATTAATAACATGGTTCCGCAGCCTGTCCCAAGGCTGTGCTGCCTGCTGGAGATCATAGTCCAGCACAAATGCCATGGGCTTTTTACTGATTCTTTTCCAAATTTTGGTACTCCAGCAAACCAGGTTGTAACTACAGGCTGCGACTGCAGCAATTTCCTTTAACTGTATTGCTTGTGACCTTCTATCAAAATAAGGAAAAACAAGCAAAGCAAAGGTGTGGCCTGGCAGTAGATATGGGATGTTCCATGTGCAGGGATATGTCTGATGAGCCACCTGGGAGACTTCAATCTGGTGACCAGAGTTGTAGAGCCCGTTTATTTCTTACGAAACTGATCCTCAAGTGACTCCACAAAAGATGATCAAGATGATCATCTTGTAGGATTAGTGGTTGCTAAACACTACAAAGAGGACTGAAGGGTTTACCTCACTGTGAACTCTTTGGATTTTTTTAGGTTTATGTTGTGTTTTATTTAGGTTTTATTTCTTTCTACCCCTTTTTTTTTAAGTCTAATGGGAAAATATATATTTACTGAAATACATTATGGAGGTTTGTTTCTAGAATGAAAAAGAGAAGGTAAATTTATTTTAATTTTTGAATTGCTTAAGCTCATCAGAAGCTTTGAGGTTATTATGACAGATGGCTATATATACATGTAATAGGAACATCTATATATATGTCTTATATAGTTGACACTTATATTTATGGAGCAGGAAGTAATGCAGGCATATTGTATAAATGAGACTTACGTAACATGGTGAGATGGCAGATTTCAAATGCAGTCCCAGCACGGGTGGCACATTAGTGAGCGGCTGAGCTGTTTACCAAGTGTTTTACCTTTCCTGCTGGGGAAGACGACAAACTTTTTTAGTGCTGAGTCATGAAAGCAACCATTTTGCAGAATGTAACATGCCTCTTGAGTAAAATCAACATACAACATGAGCTTAACCTTATGGTGTGTAGTGTATCAGTGGGAAACTTAATGGAGAAATTAGAAGGTTTTTTTCAGAGGGAATGAAAATTATCTTCAAGTATTTTAAATCTCAGAAAGTTCTAGAATTTTTTGTCATTTCATTTAATCATTTCATCATTTTGTTTCAGTTATTTTAATGTAACATTGTTTTATTTCTTTGCATTTTAAATTTTATTTTATTTGCTCCCATCCTTCAGCTCACCGCATGCATCTTAGTCCAATGGAAAACTTTATTGTTTCTCGACTGCTGACTCCCACACAGTCATCTTTAGCCAGAAGCAGAAGTACATTAATGCTTTCTGAGCAGTACAATACTCCAGGTAAAAATGTGACTTCCTCACTTTGAAACCACTGAGGTTTGTTTTTAGCTGCATTTATGTAGCTGCTGGAAGAAACAGAGTACTATGAAACAATTGGCAATTTACAGGATACTACAAAATCAATGATGAACTAAGTTGTTTCAGATAACAGTGTATTTAAAATCTTTGAAAAGTGCATTGTCTTGTCTGTGCTATTCTGAATATCTGTTTTAGAAAAAAAAATTGAAACTGCAGACTATAAAAAAAAATACTATATTCATTTAAGAAACAGGTTTTTAGACAAGAATGTGACAACTCTCAGAGGCTTTGATTGATTTATTAATGTCAGCCCTGTCATACCCGAATAGTATGTAGAACAAAAATCCCAGTGCACCACTGAGACTTAATTATTTTTACCAGGGTTCCAATTTCTATCTCTTAAGTATCTTTTTGCCTTTGACTGTGTGGCTGTGTGTATGTGACACCTATATGTATGTATAGCTGTAAATGCACATACAGAAAACCAGACTATTGATAGGAAGGTATCAGTTACAGAAATTATTGATCTTTAAGGGACGATAGTTACTATTCCCATGTGCCAAGGTTAGACTAATAAAACCAGTATTTTGCAAACATCTACAAAAATAATGTTTCTTGTCCTGCTAGTACTTGGGCAAGTGCCTGACTTTGAGTAGTTTCTGTTTATAAAGCCATACCTGGTCATAGCACTGGCTGAAATAAAACAAAAGTTTGACAGCCCTTTTTACTTTTAATAGAACAAACAAACAAAAAAAGCCCCCCAAAGCATGCACCCAAATTCCTGTCTGCAAAAGATTAAACTATTTAGATAATAAAGACACTTTTCCAAGATTAAACTATTTAGATGATAAAGACAGATCATCTTTATGATGAGTGTTTTCACACATCTTGGTTAAACTAGGTTTAAGTTCTGTAGCTGTGTTTTTCATGCAAAGCTATTTAGAAATGAATTGCTAAGTAAACCTACTTTCCCTTGTGCATTACTTCTCTGTTCAGTGCATAGGGACATTGATACTGAATGCCTCTACAATTGCTTCCCTTGTTTCTACATTAAAAACAGCCTCTACTGGAAGCAGAAATGTTTTCATATAGCACTTGAGAAAGTGCCTGATTTGATTACTGCTCAGGGACCAGCTACTGTCAAGAGTGAGCAAAACCCAAGTCAAAATTAGATCAGTACATTCTGCTTAAGATTTTGAGCTGAATTGCTGAGGCCCCCTGTGGTTGATTTTTTTCTGTTTGTATTTGATTTCCAAGAAATCAATAAGGGTGACTTCTGTCCTTCCTCACTCATTTTGTTTGTAAACTCTCAGGTTTATCTCTCTTCATCACACGATCTTTAAAGTAATACACTGGCATGTCTGACAAGGGTACAATTTGTTCTGGAAACTGCTTTTTCATTGAGCTAAAACAGGGCAGCTGATTTTGGGAACAGCTTTTTGAACAAGCATTCTCTTGTCATTTCCCACAAGTCAATCAGGCTGTAGCACAGGCTGCAAACAACAATCTCAGAGGCTATTGACATTTTGTCAGTAATTGCTGGCAAAATAGTTGAAGGACATCTCCCATTTGTCATGTACTTCTCACCACAGAAGTAGCTTCTGAATAAAGAAGAGGGATCTTCCTTTCCAGCAGCTCATGCTGTGCCTCCTGTCATTATGCTGGGGTCAAAATTGCTCTGCTACTGAATTTTCTGTAAGCTTAGAAATGAGGAGCCTCAATTTCAGACTCTACAGCAACACATTATTAATGTCACTTGAAGTCAAGATATTCAGGCACACTATTGTTACTGGATGCATAATTAATTCTTTTAACAGTTGAAGTAAAAATATTTCTCTTAGGCAGCTTTTAAGTTTCTGAATGTTTTTGTTAATATAAAGTGACCATATGCCAGTTGGCTGGAAAGTGGGTCAAAGAGTACAAAGGTCCAGTTAAACTTCAAAGTATTCAAAAAGGCTTCATAAAAATTTTATTAGGGCTGTCTCCAGTAAAAAAATTGGGAACGTGACTTTCTTTACATTAGTGCATAATTGCTGCTTTTTCTAAGTCAATATCCCTCCTGACTTTAGTTGACTAAAACTGGAAACATTCTATCACTTGATTGCAATTAGTGTCTGTCTTATTGATAAAACATATACTCTGTTGATTGTTCTGTATGCATGTGAAAGTTTCATCTTAGAAGGCAATATGAGCAAAATCAGGAGTAAAATATCCCATTTTAAAAAATCCTGTTCATATTGCAAATAAAAAAAGCTGCCCTTAAAGCTGTAATGCATGTGTCACGCTCAAATTGATGTCTCCCTCAAATAACAATAACTGAAATACCTACAGCAGCATTTAGTTTAGGTTTGGGGCTTTTTTGTTAATTTTTTAAATTAAATCTTATTTAGAAAGTAATTAGCATATTTAGGAGCCTTTGCATGTTCAGGGTTTAAAAAAGACAAAACTCCCTATGCTTCTGCCACCTTTCCTGTTTTGCAGTATGCATTCAAAAGTCACCCAGTTAGCATTATCTGCTTACTCTTTTTCTCATATGCAAAGGAGGCTGGACTTCTTAGAAGAAAAGAGTCACAGTATTAGTCCATTGGTGATTCAAAAGATATATGAGGAAAAGAGTATTATATTTTAGAGATAATTTTTTTCCTATTAAATGTTTTAGTCAAGATATTTTTAATAAACAGGGGATCATGTTGAATGCATTATATGTGATATTTTATAATACTAAAAACCACTTTAAAACTACCTTTGAACATTATAACATAAAAGTATGCTGTTTTCTCCCCTCCTTTACTTCCTCTATCCGTGCTCCTTTTTGCTCTTGCTATTGTACTATAACTCTTTAGTATTCCATATCTGTCCTCGTGTAGCACCAGCTAGTCCTCTTAAATCTCCCTACAAGCCTTCCCCCACCCGAAGCACCGACAGGAAGAAGGCAACTTCACCCTCCACTGCTAATGCCATGAAAGGGGCACCTGCAGCTGAAGTTACTCAGGTGAGTTTGTAATGGTTTTGATTTCACTGCTGGGTAAACTGATGCAGCTTCTGCTTGTTATCTTTCACTTTACATGAATAGAAATGAAGTACTTCCCCTGCTATAGGAAACAGCAGTAGAAAAGTGAGCTGTGCCAACACCTGTTGTCTTTGTGCTCCTGTTAAGGTGCATTTTAATATCTTCTTCCTCCTGGGAATCAGTGCTGAGTGCTGATATTGGAGTACCAACACCCCTATTTTCAGAGAACTGAGGCACTGAAGTGTCTGTTTTCAGACTTGTTTATAACTTCTGGGAATGGGGATGACAAATATCATTCCCTTCTGAGTATGATTATCCAGGCTTGCTGGTTAATGAGCAAGCTTCATATATTTCAGAAATTCCCCAAGTGTATTGATAATGCCTCTGTTTTACACCAATTGCTTTAACTCTTTCTGTGGACATTTTTAATGCTGTTTGCTTAAAAGATGCATTATCGATCCACTGTTGTTTCCAGAAAAGAAAAGACAAGTCACTCACCTTCACTGAGTCTACACAGCTGAAGGCATGCTAAAAAAAAAAAATCTGTGTTAGGGCTATAATATTCATGTAAGGTCCTGTATCTTGTAATACTTAATGTTAGGGGGAATCATGCCATCTAAATTAGCTGCAAGTGAGAGAACCAAAGCTGGCAATAAAGATTTGTGTAATGTCATTCTTAGGTGTGATTCAGTGCTACATGCAGCAACATTTCTGAGATGCCTGTTTGCACTGCTGATCATGTCTAAGCAGGGGCATGTGGATGATTTTGAAGATTCCACCCAGTGCCACCACCCCATCCAAGAGCTCTTGCAGACGCTGTGATGTGTATTACTTATCTGAAATTTGCAGGCTCTACCCATGCAAGACAGGGGTGGGTGTGTGCTATGTCTATGTAAAATAAAAAAACCATTAATAGCACCTCACTTGTGAGCTGCCTGTTGTAAAAGCTTTTACAAGTGTGCCACACAAATCTCTTTATATGCCAGCTTGCTAATAAAACAATCAAATGCATTTTTTGATTTTTTGATCCTAATTATGGAAATGAAAATGAACTGTGCTTCTAGACTGAGAAGATAAAGAAAGAGAAGCGACCTGCAACACCTGGTTCCTCATCTGGTATGGGATCTTCTCTGAGAAGGTCTGATTCTCCTGCTGCTATATCCAGAAGATCTGCATCACCTGCAACACCTAAGTATGCTTTTCTTAGTGGAAAAATATCCTGTGAATTTCTCATTACCTGTAAATAAGGCACAGATTCTTGAGGAACTTGCTTTGAAGTGTTGTATAAAATCTAGTTAATTTTATTAATACCTGCACACATGTACAGATGGGTGAGAGGAGAGGTGTAGAGGACAAATCTGATATCTCTAATATTGTGGTAGTACCCACTAGAGACAATTCTCTCTACCTTTCCTCAGTCTTGAGATTACAGTGCATTTCATTATTCATATGAAATCCCTGTTTGATTTTGAAGAAACTGCCTAATGTGAAGAAATGCACTCCTCATGAATACTAACTCGAAATTCCAGCATTTAATATATGCATTTCCTATTGTTGGCATGACCATCTGGTGCTGTAAATACACTTAACTATGTGTATTTAAACAATAAAAACAATCTAAGCCATTGTTTTTAACCTTTGCTCATTTGCAGACCTCTGTGGTTTTGTGTTTGTTGCACCTTTTGCTTATTTTTTTTTAATGCAGAGCTGTGGTTCTATAGCATATCTGGGCTTACTGACAACTGACTTGCTTTTCTTGATTGTGTTTTGCTGAAAACTGTTTTATATGTACTACAGCTTGAAACTCAAGTCTAAGCAAATGGGCTTCTTAGAACAGAATATTAAGTCTGGCTCTAATGTAGGAGTATGCTGAAGAAGTCCTGGTCTACAGTACTTGCCTAATTTTTTTGGCTGGTTGATTGGTTTGGACTTTTTCCCTTAGACCTTGTTTATGAGTGCCACTTCTGTCTTGAAAATTGTCTTTTTTATCTTTTTTAATATGAAGCTGGCCATATTTTGAACCAGACTTGATGATCCCCTTTCTGACAAATTTCTTCTGCCTGAAAAACCAGCTGGTGTTCCTTTTCTCTTTCAGCTCTGAGGGCACAGCCCTTTAGTGGGGGATGATTTTGTGTGTGAATCTGATGTTAGACAACATAAGGAAACCATCTGACTCTCAGTATTCTTTCTGGTTTAGACATCCCCTTGCATGTAACTGGGACACTGCATTTCTTGGTTTTTCTTATAAAGCTACAAATTCTCAAACTTCCAATATTATATATGTAATGTCATCAGATTTTGTGGTATGAACTACATCCATTTTGTGAAAAATTTAATGAAATGGTAATGACAGTCAGCTTTCTTATCACCGTTTTGAGCAGATCATTGTCTAGTGGAACTCTGCAATGTAAAGTTAAAAAAGTTTGAGCTGTAAGAGTATATGTTATTCTGCAAGTACTGATATTCCCTACTCAGAATGCATTTTTCAGTTGTTCAGTATAGCAGTAAAGTATAAGAGGCTGAGAAAAGACTCACCAAGAGACACGCTTAGACACTTCGTTAAGCAAAATGATTGGTAGGAAATGAACTAGCTTGGAGTGAAGTGCTGCTTGCTGGTCAGGCAAAGGTTAGTGCAGATCATCAGAGAATGTCCAGTGGTTAAAAGAAAAAGTTATTTGGAGACAGCTCTTTAGTGCTTTATGGAAAGGGTATGCCCAGTCTTAATTTGAAGCACTAATTTCGATAAAAGATTAGGAAATTTTGGATAATTTTTTTCCCAGAGGTGCAAATTATAATAACCTTTGTACAGGAAAATATTTTCATGCCTATAAGGAGTACTGTTTTTAGAAGAAGAAACAGATGCTGCATGGAGGAAGTAAGAAGCCTACTGGTGGGTTTCTCTATGACTGTGAGCCACAGTAGTGATCTCTTTTTATTTTTCCCCCCCTCCTTCTCTTTCTCAAGGGAATCTGATTCTGACCATGTCTAGGAATGTATTACTGAGCATTTAATCTTAACGTGGCCCAATTAGGACACCCTTCTTGACCTTATGAGAGATACAGTAAATAGAGTTTAAATCCCTGTTTGTTACTGATCGCAGAGAGTTCTGCTTCAGCACTTTCAAAACTTCCCCTCATAATTCTAAAATTAAAAGTGTCCTAATGACCATATTGTATTATTATATATAGATTATAATAGTGATAATATATGTATTTTTTCATACAACTCAAATTCCACTGTTAATTTTCATTGAGGAGATAAGATTATACAATCTAAAGGACAGTTCCAAAAGCCTAACTGCCTGTATTTAAATCCACAGACCAGCAAGATCATTATCTGATATTCAAGTATAATTTTAGTCTGACTAAATATGTATACAAATACTCATTCTCCTTTCAAACCTAACAATCTTTTACATGTTTAATCTTTCTCCTTCTAGCACACTATATGACTGAAAAAATACCCTGAAAGAAATAAGAACACATATTGTACAGCATTAGTAGTTAGTGATCCTGCATAGCACCTTAACCTTTAAAGCTGTTGAGGAAAGAATCAAGTATGGCCAATGATTTACATGACAATTAGCTGTATACATTTCTTTTCTTAAGAATATGTGGCTTGGCATTCAAGTTTTCTTGGTGTTGTTCTAGTTACCAGTTTTTCACAGTTGTCATCTTGGTTTCTGACTGGCAGTAACTTGTCTTCTAAATATGTTATTTCATTATTTATTAAATAAAAAGCTTTTTTAATCATGGTAAAGTAACTGAAACACTATCAAACAAGACAATAAAACCTCAGCCTAAAGAGCCCCAGTGATTAATGGCAGAAGAGAGTTGCAGTAATTACATAAATAAAATACTAATGTTTTGGATGGGTAAATTTTACTGAGAAAGCAAAAAAGGTCAGCCCAAAAACATTACATCTGACATGAGTGAACAGATACAGATATAAAAAGGAGAAAAGGGGAAAAAATCAAAATACGCCGAACAACAATTAAAAGCAGGGAAGAAATTCAAAACATGATGTTATTTGAAAAAGTAAATATGTCAGGAAATGTCACAGAAAGAAATCTAAAACTATTACTTTGAATCTTAATAATGTGGATAAGATGAAAGTTAATGGATTAGGGTGTTTGAGCAATTGAGAGATTGTCTTTAATTTTTTTCAGTTGCTATTGGATACTGATGGTGTAAAGTGCTCATTTTCTTCAGATCTCTCACAGGATCAATAACAACAGGATGAGGGGTTTGGGTCATTTTTTGTTTTATGCTTTATCTTCAAAGATCTGTACATTAATCAGTTTATTCCTGCAGTATCCCTCAGAGAATAGCTAAGTGTGCTTTCTTATAGATCAGGAAGGCAATAAAGCCTGTGTCCTTCTCATGTCTTTGGGTAAATAGTCCCTAAATAAACCAATGGCACCTGACTGAATCAAGGAAGTAAGATTTAGTTTTGAGTGTCTTCAGATGAGCCATAGTGTAAGCCAGTGAATAAAATCAAAGCTCTGACAAGCCTGTGTCACATTCTTTTGCCAAAGCATAACCTCATGAGGGAAGGGGAAGGTGACTGATGGATGGTGCTGCTGATGGGTGGTGGTTCATGTTTCCTTTCCAGATCATTTCCTTTGCTCATGGTTCTAACTGGACTCCTTACCTGGTGGTTTTGTTGGGTGACAGCTCCCTGTAGTCTGGGGGAAAAACACTTTTGATGTCACAAATGTGCATGCTCAAATTGCAGAATAGTGATGGAATGTGCACATAATATAGTACAAAAAAGTGCACTCAGACTTGTAAAATGTTTAAAAATGAGTTATTGGAAAGGTGTCTGCATGTGGTGAATTCCCCACAGAAGTAGCTTCTATGTCCTGCAGTGACCCATTTTAGATTTTATTTTGTATGTGCTACATTTGCTACTCTTAGTTTTTGTGTTGACTTGGAAAGATAAAAACAATGGGTAGAATGTTTGTTCAAGAGTACTTTGAGGGATTTTTCAGCAGTTAGCTAGATAACAGGCCAGTTCACCATTTTGAAACATCTGTAATAATGCAGCTAATAAAAAAACTATTCTACAGACCTATGCTGAGTTTTTTCTCTTTTAAGAAATGTAAAAGAGAAATGAATCTGTCTTTGGTTACAAAAGATCAAAACTAAGAATGAAAGGAAACTGCTTTTGAGAAAATGGCACAGAACAAAAAAGTCAGAACCCAGAAATAGCTGTGATCAGAGCAATGTCAGAAAGCAGGCTTGAGAACGTGCAGGTCTGTGGTGTGGTTTCAGCAGAGTTTTTGTTGAATTAATGGGGAGAAAGGAGAAAAATAATGCAGCTCTGGCATTGCTGAAGATTGCTGATTTACAGTCAGCCCCATGAACAGCTGTAACCAGTGACCTGCCACAGAGCTGGCTTTTCAGGAGAGCTTGCTGTTCTCTGCCCTTCTGTTTATGGCCAGAGCTGGATGTGACCTATTATTTGTGTGCTACATGTGCTTTATTTTCTGTGCTTAGCAAAAGTAAGCTCAGAACCCCTCATATGCTCTTCCTGAGACTTTGTTCTGCAGAATGGACTATCTCTTTTGTAATTAAATAGGAGCCATGGTAATTAAGAATCAGTGGATCCTCACACCTGATAGATGTTCTAGCAGAGCATGTAGGGGGCAGCTTCTTTCATGCTGCTGCCCTCAGGGCAGTTAGGTGAGAAAACGAATGTCTTCTTGGAGAGAGGAAGGTGCTTCTGTATTCCCCTGTAAAATCTAGTTACTGAGAATGAGTGAGATGTCTGACAACTACATGCTGCCACTTCTTGGCCTTCAGTGATTTCTTATCTTAATTCTCTAATCCTTATCAGGCATAATTCTGTGTTTCCCACTTTCTTACTGTAGTTTAAACCTAAACAGGCTCCTATACAAGTGATTATAATTTTTTTCTTAATATTTCCATTTTCCTGGCTTTTCAGTTAAGTTTGGCTCTTTTTGGTGTAAAGCTGCATAACTTAAATGCTATTTAGAAGGAGTGTTTTTTCCAATAACAATTCTGCTTGTGTCAAGGAATGTTAAAGATGCTAAGTTGCAAGTATGTTTTAAATACAAGGAGGAAAACAATGTTAATTTAATACTTTCTACTGGCATCCAGGAAGTGATATAAAAAAATCTGAAAAAAGATTCTTATTCTTGATGGACTTTCTCAGCTTTGCACTTTACACACTGCATTATTCTCATCCTTGCAGTAATCAGTCTTCTATTTTTCTCACTTTTAGCTACTTTATATGAAGCTCTACTATTTTCTTGTTGTTCTGGTCTAAGAGCCTGTCACACTTTGGTTAAAAAAATACTGTAGGTCTAAAAGTTCAAAGTTGCAGTAGCTAAATAATACATTCAGCACATGTTTCTATTCCCAACAGCTGAGTTGTACAACCAGTCTGCTCTGATGCCTATGCAGTGCAAGATATGTGGCTCTCATGACTAGACTCCTTCCTACCGACCTCTTTGATTGTCATGTCTTTATTAGAGAACAATTACTTCTGTACTAATACTGAGAATGACTCAGCCTCAGTTATTAGCTTGTTTTGCTCCTTCTGTCACAACAGTTAAATCAAAAGCATTGCAAGGAACATGTGGTAAAGTTGGAAATGTGAACCAAAGACAGCAAAAAGGGACTCTGCTTTGAAGAAGTGTCTAATTAAAAAGAAGCAGCCTCTGTGCTGCAAAAAAACATGAGGAAAATGTTTTCTCTATACCAATTATATTTTTATGAAATGCAGTTGGAAATGACTGCAGTGATGAGGCACATGTGAGAGACACACTTGTAGGTGGGGCCTTGAAATCTGCTTTTGCTGTCAGAAGGACCTGGAAATGCATCTTTAAGCTAAAGAGGAATCGAAAGACAATGCTAAAACCACATTTGGTCAATACAACCAAACTCATTGGCTTCTCCCATTGCTGTTTTTGTCAAGAACTGGAATCAGGCTTGCCAGTTTACATCTTCCAAATCCCGCTTCTGTCATGGAACAGCAGGAGTCATGGGTGGCAGCAGGACAGACAAGGACAGGGACCTTGCCCACAGTGCTCCATCCCATGGCAGGCAAAAGAAGTGACCAGGGTCAACCAAGAGCCCTGTGAGAGCCAACAAAGGCCTTACTGAGGCAAGTCCAAGGACAAGCCAGGACATCATGTCAGGATCAGCAGGTTGGGAAGCCAAGAAGAACAGGCTTACCTACAGCTGAGCTCAGCCAAGGGAGCTCCTGGGCCTGCAGGCATTGGGGGAGCCTGAGCTGAACTTCAAATTTAGTTGAGTGCTACTGTTCCTGCAGCCTGAGGGCTTTTGGACTCTGGTGGCTCTTCAGTGGGAGTAAGAAAGCAGGGATGGTGCAATACTCTGCACTGTTTTCCTCCCCACAAACCAGGCACCAGGCACCTCTGAGTGAGCTCCTTGTAGTCTAATGTCTCAACCTCTTTCAAAAGCAGTCTAATATGGTAGAAAAGAACCCTTTTTTCTACAAAATTCATGAGTTTGGGGAGGAGTTGAAAGATGTCTTGATTTTATTGTCTGCTCTACTATTGTAATGCAAATGCTGTTCTAGTTATAGTACTCTCTGACCACACAATACTATAGCTAGATCTGTACAAAACTTGCCACTCCAGTCCATTGATTTTCAGCCACTGTTCATGTTTTTCATGCTTGTGGTCTGCCAGAATGAGTGTATATAGTCCAGTAAGCATATTATGGTATATGAAACTCTATATAGTGTAGATGAAAAAGTGATAAGGGATAATACATTTATATCATAATTGCATATCCAGGAAGAAGGTTAGAAATACATGTGTAATGTTCACTTTAATGTCAGATAATTTATTCTAATGAGACTCACAGAAGTTGTTATTTTAAGATTGTAATCTCTTTATTCTTATACTACTTAGTCACACATCCCAGTCTTTCTTAATGTTACAAGTGCTAGTTACTGGTGTTACCTAAATAATGAATGGCATTCGTGTGTAGTTTTATGTTTCCTGGTAATCTGTTCTCTTTATGTGCACCTATTTTCAGTGAATATCAGGGATCTTTACGCTTCCACTTTCCCAGAGCTGATTTCCCCTGAAGTGTGCAACAGCCAGATAAGCAATGGGGTGCATTGCTGCAATGGGGTGTATTGGTGCATCACCATCACCACAAGTGCAGCTTCTGAAAAGCTGCAGGGGCTGAGTTTGGAGTCTGGAGTCTGTTGTGTTGGTGCTGAAAAATGCACTAACTCAAACAGTGTTGCTGACAATATAATGGTTTGATCAATTCTGTCTCTCAGTAGTACCCAGCCTTACCTTTGTATATACTGGTATTTGGTGCTTTCTTGGAAAATTAGATATGATTAGAAAAAGATCATGGTTAGCAAGGTGGTGTTCAGATGAAAGCAGCACACTGTAGCTCATTATGATTTCTACAGACAGAGAGCAGCCATAGCTTTGGTTTACATGTTGAGGACTGTACAAACAATAAAGTTGACAGAATTCTTTTGAAATGATCATTACTAAAACCACTGGTCTAGGCAGTCCACAAGTTCCTATTTCTCACCTAAACCTTAGACAGTGTTACTGGTTTATTTTAATGAGAATTTTCTGTAATCATGTGCACTTCTGTGTCAGTTTCATGCATTTTAAGTTCTGATTGCATCCAGGTGGTTCTTTTCAGTATTGTGCAAAACAGCTGATGCTCCTCTGTAGCCAGAGACAAGCAAGAATGAGAAATGTGAAGATGGAGTTTGATTCCAAGCTGTGTAACATCTGGTCTTGTTTGATTTTTGTTTTCTCTCATCAGGACAGTTGCAAAGACTTATCCTCAGTCTCCTAAAAACACCAAACAATATCCAGCTTCTCCTGTGAAGCATCGTGCCACTTCCAATAGCAGCCAGGAAACACCTAAAAAGAAAGCAGACAAGGAGAAAGAGAATGTCAGTCACCTGAAGTCCCCAGGAGCACGCACTGATGACGTGGCTCCTGAGAAGCACGTGCCTTCTGCTGGAAAGGCTGAGAACACTGAAGGTGAGCCTTGCTGCAAGATGTCAGTGCAAGGTCCCTGAGAGTTTTAAATGATGATGAGCTGTTCTTTTCATGAGGCTGCGCAGTCACAGGCTTATGAGAATGTGTAAAGATACACATTGGAACCTGTGAATACACAGTTTTCACTAACGTACCAAAAGCCAAATGTACCAATTGTTAACGAAGATGTGAAACTGCTGGCATCCAGGGATGCCCTTATCTATTCCATCTTCTTTCTGCTGGAAATGATAAAATATGCTTTTTAAAAAATGTGTCTCACCACCATTTCACCAGGCCCATTTCAGCCTAGTGAATGAACCTGGAATTGCTCGACACTTTCTTTGTTCCCTACCTGACTTCCATCCTTGGTTGTCTTCTCCTAGGGAAGATCACAGCAGGAACAAGTGATGCAGAAGAAGCTGCAAAAATTCTAGCTGAGAAAAGACGACAGGCCCGCCTGCAGAAAGAACAAGAGGAAAGGGAGAAACAGGAAAGAGAAGAACGAGAAAGGTCTCTATGTTGCTTTATGAAAATTATAACCTAATAATTTAACCTGTATCACTGAAGATGCTTGAAACTGTCGTAGTTTTGGAATCAAGCAGGAGTTTATATTATCTGTTAATTTCTTTAATTTCAGACTCATTCCATTAGTGTCTTTTGCAGTCTCCAAGATGAGTGAAGTTAAAAAATAATAATAAATCTGGCCTCTTCAAGAACCCTGAATAAATTATTACTTTTCCAAATACTTCAGGCATGTCCATGCTGAAGTGTACTGCACACTGCAGTATGGTGATACCTGAAGTATTTTACATTGTAAAAAATATTTTAGGTGGCTTTAAATGAGCTAGATCACGTAGCTGAAATGGTCTTGCAGCAGCAGGATATGCTTTAAATGGCACAGCTTGAATCATTCATAATTAACCTGAAGCTCCTCTTCCTGCCCAACTGCTGCAGGCATTGAGGGCTGAGTGTGGGCAGGATGAAGGTTGCTGTCTGAGCAGTGCAGTTCTGGCTCTGTTCTGGGAACAGGCTTTTTGGTGGTTCTCCACATGGGATGCTGGTTGCAAGTGTCAGCAAACCATGCACTTCCTTCAGACCTCTAATAGTAAATCACTAATCCTGCTTGTCTAGAAAACCCAGCTTTGGGTTTTCTTACTACAGACACAGTGTTGAAACATGGAATAGAGCTCTCCAGCTAAGTTAGAAATGGGTATGTTTATTGACAGTGCCAGACACATGGGGAGTCATCTCCCAGAGATGTGGGAGATTCCCAAAGAATCACAGGCTCCAGCTCTTTATTTATCTAAAAAGTCTTACATATTCATATAATTTCCCAAATGCCTAATACATATTCATTACCTAACCCACCCCCCTTGGTATTAAAATGTATTTATAACTGAATCTAAGGTTCCTTCATGCTTGTGCAGTCTTTCACCTCAAATGGGATGGTGGGTTCTGGAATGGGTCGTGGTCTTCTGAGGTCAAAGTGACCTTTTACTTTTGCCTTGTTGGCAAGTTTTGGCTGTAAACCCAAAACCCCTTGGCTGTAGCTCAGGTTTTGGGGCCCAGGTGCAGGCTATGGTCCTCTTCTTTTTCACAATTAAATCTGCATCCCATCCTGCTTCTTTAAACATAGTAAAGACAGCCAGGTCTATCACTCTAGCCTTAACTATTTTATCTGCTAATAATTAACTCTCCCTTATTATTTCTACTCTTTGTGCTATACTCTTAATTGTTTCTATCCCCCCTAACTAAATTTAGTTAAACTTTTAACTCTTTCAGTTTCTTTAAACCCTTGATTCAGGGTGGGAGTGGAATGACCAGCCTCTGCCATTTTGGCCCTGATAGAATTATAAGACAGATCACTTAAAAAACAATTCTTAAGGAGCATGATGTCCCTCAGTGGGCCAGGGAACAACACAGGTGGAATTTAGACCCACTCCTTCCAGTATTCCACTGTGTTTTGTGGAATTTGCTGCTACTCATCCCATTTGTTTAACCTCAGAAGAAGCAAAGGATAAAAGAACTTGCTTGTTTATAGATACCAACATTCTGGGTATCAAGTATAGGAGAAGAAAGGTTGTCTTTGTTCTTGAAACTTAATTTTATTATTGACACTATAATTGAAATTAGGACAGGAATGTTTTCTTTGATCACACATATTTTTTTCAATGGAAATTATAACTTCTATGAAATATTTTATGCATAAAACCCAAGGAGTAAAACCTTGATAGCAACCTGAATTCTGAGTATGTGCTCAATGTCTTCACTTCACTTGTATCCTGGCATCTTTCATGAAAATGTGTTACCAGTTACTCGTGTACATTCAATAGGATTTATGCTAAACAAGATGAAGCTTTTTAAACCTTCTGTTACATTTTCTGCAGGCTTGAAAGAGAAGAGCAGAAAAGAAAGGCAGAAGAAGAAAGACTTCGTCTGGAAGAAGAAGCTCGTAAGAAGGAGGAGGAAAGAAAACGTGAAGAAGAGGCAGCAAGAAAAAAGGCAGAAGAGGAAGCCAGGAGAAGAGCTGAGGAAGAACAAATGCTAAAGGAAAAGCAAGAAAAAGAGCTCCAAGCCAAACTTGAGAAACAGGTATCATCTCAAACAGAAACGTGAAATTTTTATACATGTAAAAAAAATACTTCTTAATATTTGGTAGTCTGCCTGAAATAAATAATGGCCCTAACATATTTGACACATTTTAATTAGAGGGAAGAAGCAGAAATCAAAGCCCGTGAGGCAGCTGAACAGCTTCGTCTTGAAAGGGAACAAATCATGCAGCAAATTGAGCAAGAAAGGCTGGAGCGGAAGAAGGTGAGTATTTGCATCTCAGGATAATTATTTCATTTCTTGTTTAAATACACAACCCAGGAAGCACCCAGTAGTATCTAATAACAATAATCTGGAGAGATTAAAGGTGAATCATTATGCCAAATTTAGTATTTGTTATTTGCCTGTTAGGGGAACATGGACATCAACATTTGTAACCAAGTGGAATTGCCTGAGGCAAATGACTTTCTCCTAGGCTCTGAGCAAACACAGAGCCCGCCTCCACCTGAAAGTTAAATGCCTGAGACAAACAAGGAATGGCATGCCAAGGCAAATTTTGATTGCTGTCCAACCCAGGACATCACTAATTACTGAGAAACATGAGTGACTTTGTTTAAAACTTGCCCAACAAAAGCTCTGTGTCATTAATTGAGAAAGTTTGTGATTAACAAAGTTTTCCCCCACCTGGCTGTCTGTGGTTGCATTATGCAGAGGAACAGGATTGTCTGGTCACTGCTGCACAGGGAAATGGCTGAAGCTGCATAAATTAGCTTTGTTTACAGCTGTGTGGCAGAAAGAGAACAGCTGCAGAACCCCGGTCTGGTTACAAACAGTCATCTCTCCATATATGTTATTCCAATATATTTTAAACTGTTCACCACTGAACTGGAGGCATATTGCAGTTGCAGATTAGAATATCAAACCAAAGTGTTTTACATCTCAAATAACATCTCCTTTTTAATGAAGAAAGAAGGAAAACAAAAGTATTTTAGGATAATGCTTTACACATTTCTAGCAAGAATAACTTCAGATTTTCAGTTTTGCTCTTCTATTCCAAAAAGGTGAACTATTTTTAAAGGCACTGTTAGGAAATAGTTGGAAAATCAGCTAGATTAAAATAACCACTTGGTTTTAAACAAATGTCTTGTTCAGAGCTGAGCATAACTCATAGCTGCAAACACCTGGTATTAAAATACTTGTTTCTAAAGTGCACCTGCTGAGAAAGCCATGTTGTTTAAGATCTGATAGGTTAAAGCCAGCTGCAAGATGTTTTATCTCTTTAATTTTCTTTATTTTTCATATTTGTTCTCCCTTTTTCAAGAGAGGCAGAGAGGATGGCCTGACAGTAAAGAAAAGGTTCTTTGTCTTTTTTTTTCCCCCTGTGTCTTGTGTTACATATTCTGTCTGCCATCTCATCCTGAAATTTATTTTGATTTATAGAGAATAGATGAAATTATGAAGAGAACAAGGAAGAGTGAAACCCCAGAAATAAAGGTATGAAACAGGATGTGGTTGCACATTTTTTTTGTTTTATTATCATATGTGGAAATCAAATTCTAGGGTAGTTCCATGTTAGTAAATCTAGTCTTGTACACTAGATAGTAGTAAGTGTTTTTTGTTTTATTATCATATGTGTAGTATAGTAAATGTTTTTTGGTTTATTATCATATGTGTAGTAGTAGTAAATGTTTTTTGGTTTATTATCATATGTGGAAATGAAATTCTAGGGGAGTGTAAGTAAATCTAGTCTAGCACACTTAGTGTACTAAGTGTACACTCCAGACCCAAATTTTAGATGCATTTCAAACAGAATGACTGTTGCTGTGTCACAGCCACTGCTACAGAGACACAGCTTTTATGCAGCCTTTGCAGGTAGGATAATTGTCCCCCTCACTACCTAGCAAGGAGCAGCAGCTCATTCCTGCATGTTGGAGCTGTAATGTTTGCTGCTGTTGATGTGTCTTCCTGCTTTGTACCAGGCAGTGATTTCGTTACTGAGCTCTCTGTTACCCTGTCAGCAATGTGGGAGTGAAAGGAAGGCAGTTGCGTCCAGCTAAGGAGTGACTGTCAGATTTTCATTTCTAATCTATCACCAAAGGGGTATCAGGGACAGACAAAGGTGATACAGAGACTCCATCATCAGAGGGCATCAAAAAGCACTTTATTATTAGAAATTCACAGTTCTTATAGAAAACTTATAGTGGTGGACCTAACACCTTATTGGAATCTTCTCTCACCTGTTGATCAAGAAGGAACAACTCCTTCTTGTAAACATCTTTGAGAAACACAGATTGCCTGCCAGCTGCAGAGATTGAGATAATTGTTTTAATTCTTTCTCTGAACTTTCTCACAGCTTCCCAGGAATATCCTGGGAGAGCAGTGTCTCTCTCTGTTCAGAGGATATGTGATAACCACATAATCTAATTAGGAAACTGTTCAGTTACTTTTAGAGAATGTTTTCTTTTTTAATTTTGAAAAAATGCTATGCCTAACTAAAAAGGGGAAAAAAGTCCTGTTTTGCTGTTGCTGGTCTTTGTCACCCTGTGGCCCTGAGCAATCTCACAAGTTTTGAGTCCAATTGGTTCTATAAAGGTTACAGTCCTCCCTCTAATACAGCTGAGTCATTACTTCATTTCAGAAGGAAGAGCCAAAACTGGAGATCCCATCAACTTTGAATGTGGAAAAGCAACCAAAGGCCCTTGTTCTCAACCAGCCAGGTAAAAATTGCCATGTTTTTCTGACCTATTTTCCCAGTTGAATCTCTTCAGATTATTATTTTTTTTGATCTGAGGCAGAGCACTGTGTATTATCATAAGTTTTTTGCTTTCATCTCAAAAAGAACAGCTGCATTTGCATCAGTGACAAATGTTAGAAACTGGAGACAGCTTTGCTTTGCCACTTAAGCAAAACCAGAATAAAGTTTCTCCTCCATTTTAGTACCTGATGTAGCATTTTTTGTAAATGAAAAGTTCTAGTCTGCCAGTGTTGGTTTTTGGTTTTATTGCTGCAACCTACCTTCAAATTTTGTAGGTAGAAAATTTTTGCACACAACCAAGCTTTTTGTAATATGACTCTAAATCTTACATTTAATTTCACTTCATAAAAAAACCCCATATGCATTTAAAGGATTATTAAATAAAATGTCTGACATTATCTATATTTTGTTTACTTCTCCAGGCTAAGGTTTTTACTACATGACATAAAAGATAGAACATTCTCTTCCTGTTTCCTCAAATCTAAAAGATGTAGCACAAAGAGCAGTTTTTGGAGTGGAATAAAGGAATGACAGTACAGTATGATGAGCCATGGATTAAACTGAGTCTACTGCATTGTCACTCTTCCTTTCTACTCAGTCTGTAACTTAAAACTATTTAAATAACAAAGTTTCTACTCTCATAATTCTAACTTTTTTTTACAGAGATCAATGGATTGGCGACCTGCCTGAAAAATAAAAGCTTAGAAAGTGCTGCTTCTGTAATCCCTTCCCAAGATGTGGTTGCTAATGGACTGAAGTCAGTTTCAGGACTTATTCAGCTGGAAGCTGTTGATGGGAAATCTAACAGCATGGAAGATTCAACAGATGAGGTTCAGTCCATGGATGTGAGGTACACACTGGATCTACCTGTAGGGTTGTGGGATTCATGTGAGACACAGGATTTTGGGTTTTGTTTGTTAATACTTTACTACCTTGCTTCTCACCTCCCCCCATGGTGGCAGCTGGGTGTGCACTGGCTGTGTTCTGCTCCTGCCAGGATTCTCCTGCGTGTTTGGCACAAGAGCCACAAAACCTCATCTCACTCTCACATATTTGGGACAGGGAACTCTGAAATCCTTCCACAGTCCTTACTTATGGATTCCATGCAAGTTTGCCCAAACCTTTCAGACGCTTTTGTGAAAGCAGCTACTGTAGATAGTGTTCTGATGTAACTGTTTTTTAATTTGGCTGCATAGCTGTGATTCATTAGCATTTCTGCCTCCATACAAACAGAATAAAGAAAATAATGGATTTAGAATTTTAAGTACTTAACAAGTAGAAATGTATGAAAACCAGTAAATAACTTTGATTTTAAATACTCTCACATTTTGATGGAAGGACATGCAAAAATGAAGGATTTTTAATTTGAAGTTTTTTTATTTACACACATATATATAGGCAGTTAATTTAAGGCTGCTAAGTCAAAGCTAGATCTGAATTTTAAACATGGAATTTTAATGCTGTTCTTCATTAATCAGTAAGCCAGTTGAACCTCTTATACTGTCTCCAGCAAATTGTATTTCCAGCAAATATGCATTAATATATAGGAAATGCCCTGCTGGGACCAGCCAGAAGATTCTGCAGCCCAATATTTGGTTTCAGAGAGTATCAATAAGAAAACTAGTGAGGGAGAGCACATGAGCCTAGCACTTCCTGCAGTCCAAGATCACTGAAGTGTAGCCTTAGGGATATTGAGGGCACAAGTCTGCCTTGGCCTTTTAAGTGGCCACTGGTTGACATGTTGCCCATGAGTTTATCCAACTCTTTTTTTATCAGCTCTTTGTGTCTAGGACCTCACCTGGAAGCAGTCTGTACAGTACAGTCTCACTGGTAGATTTTGTTCTTTAATCCCTGTTAAACCCAGTTTCTTACTGGTGGCATTGGACACCCCTGACATTTTGTGTTGTAGGATTTCATGTATGATAGTTTTGCTCTCAACTCATCCACCATATCATAGTTTAAGAAATGTCTGTGAAAGCCTTCCTCTGCTTTCTCTTCTCCAAACTAAAATGCACTACAGGGCAATATATATTTTTTTTTAAATTAGGACATTCTCTAGGTAAAATCTTGCTGCAGCTGCCCTAAGATGCATGGTAGTTTCTGAACAGTCAGAGGTTTAACTTGATTTTTGCTTAATGAAAAGTTATAGACCTCTTATTCTGTGTCTTTCTTCCTTTATCTTTTGCATAGCCCGGTTTCAAAAGAAGAACTTATCTCTATCCCTGAATATTCACCCATGAATGAACTCATGCCAGGTGTTTCTTTGGACCAAAATGGGACAAGTAATGCCAAGGCTCTTGAAGACCTCTTGGATTTCACAGGCCAAGCTACCTACTCCAAGATGTCCAGTGATACCCTTAGCCTAGATGACTGTAATAAAAACTTGATTGAGGGATTTAACAGCCCAGGACAAGAAAATACACTTAATTCTATCTGTTGACAGCCTTGCTTTTCAGCAGAACTGATACAGGTACAGTACTGTGATAAACATCTTATGATAAATTGCTGTGATTACTTCCTAGTTTCCCAGAATATCTCTCCCCACACATGGCAGTGTGGGGAAAGAAAGAAAGAAAGAAAGAAAGCTGTTCTCCTAGGTATTAAAATTCAACATAATCTTTGAGATTTGCAGCTGCCTGTAGATTGGCATCATATGCAAACTGACTGTATCATAGCAACCACAAGTATCTGGTAAATGGAAACATTTCCTTTAGGCATCCAGAATTTCTTCATTAATACCATACCTTTCCTGCATATCTTTGGAGCCTATTTGCATGAAGAAAACAGTTAAAAGTGGGGCCAGTCTAGGCCATAGTAGTTATTGCTGCTGCTTTCTCTTTGCTGCTGTAAAACTTGCAGTGTAGAATCACACACCCTGAAAAGCCAGCATAGTAAAAATCCATAGTAGGCTTCAGTGACAGTTTCAAAGTACAAAGCTATAGTCAGCTTTTTTGGAAGAGTATATTCTCTAAATAGCAAAACTGAGGTCATCTAACTTGTGTAGCTGACTTGATAGTCTTCTCTCTCTTTTTGATTGACAGAGATAACAATTTCTGGAGGATATATATCCCTGTGATGCTACTGGCAGTAAAATATGAGCTTGTCACTTGAAAAAGCTTCTGCAGTCCTTGAACACTGGATTTCAAATAATCAGAGCTGAATATAACTTGTCTTCCCAGGGAGTATGTTGAATAACTGGCTGCTTTTGGTAGAAACCAATGATCTAGAGCCTTGATGTTTCAGGGAAGACAGTGTGCATTAGAATTTGAGCTTTAGCTGCTAATAAAGCACTTATATCTTCTTTAATTTAAAATTCATCTCAACACTTCACTGTGATTTTTACCTGTGCATTTTATTTTTAAATAATTATTTCCTAAGCTTGATCATGTCCTTCATCTATTTCCATTTAGACATCTTTTTCGTGTAAATAATGATGGGGTTTGCCCACAGTGCATTGAAACAAAATAATATACTGTACTTTAGTTTTGTGCCTATCTTTTTTTGTCTTTAAAAGGAGTTAATGGCAACTTTTATGAGGTGTGTAATTCAAAACTGTAGCTGAAGAGGCTTGAAAAACATATAGCTGCTGGAATCAAAAGAGCCTTCTTATTGACTGTGGAGTATGGGAGCTATCCCTTTATGATTATGTTGACACTTTTAGTCACTAGTGGCACTTACCAGTTAAAATTAATTAGTCTGGGAGCAACTATCAACTGTGTTTGAAATCATATTTGTGTAGCACTTGTAAGCAAAGTATGCCAAATGCCAAGTAGAACCCTTGAATATGTGTGTAGTGTAGCTGTAGTAGATCTGAGTGAGTGATCAGGAGGGTGACACATTAACCTTTGAAAATGCAGACACTTGATTGATACCAGCAGGCTTTCTATCACACTGAGAAGTATTTTGTCTTCCTGTAGGCTCAACAAAATGGGATTTGGTCAGCAGCAAAACAATATGTGAGTGTCAGAAACACAAAGGGCAAAATGCGCGCTGGGAACACTGGGCGCCCTTGACGTTCTGTAAACATCTGTGTGGAACAGTCCACAGCACGATGTGCAAGGTCAGGATGTCATGTGCTGCACAGTGTCAACTTTATTTCTCTTGGTGAACATTTTTGCTAGATTAGGTGCTGCTTTGAGGATATTTTGTCCAGTCCCTTATAAGAATAAATTATAAATACAACTCTCTTTGGACTCTAGCGCCAAAAATGTGAAAACTTGGGGTGGGGAGGGGGTGTTTGGCTTTTTTTTCCTTTTTTTCCACATGTAAGAGTTCACAGCATAGATTGACCTCAGTTGTAGCACCATTCTTGTGCTCTTAAAAGTCAGCAGTGGGAAAGTAACCAGTGACATGATGTGCAATGCCTAAAAAAAATCATACCTACAACAACCTGGCTCTATTTATGTTAGTGTACTTCAAGAAATACTTTCTTTTGACTGTGCAGTAAGCTGTAGCATGGTACTGTGTCTTCCAAATTAGTCCTTCATCTATTTCCTAAATAATAAACAAACAGAAACAGTTTGTTTTGCTGTAATACACTGTGTTTGACAAATGTCATATTATATTTTATTATGGTGTCATTGTATAACCTGTAGATTTCTGTATTTGCATGACCTGTATAGCATGTATAAAGGTGAAATACATTTTCATTTATGAATCTGACTTGTTTCTTAGCACTTTTTTTTTCCCCACAACAATATGACTGATTTAAAAATACATGTATGTTAATTTGTTCTGAGGTGTTTTCTGAAGGAGAGTATAGTACTGAAGAAAGGAGCAGTTGGCAAAATCTCAGAATATTTCGCCACTGTTCCCATTGCCATATATCCATTTGCTTTCTGACGTGCCAATACACTGGGCAAGTGCAGGCTGGTGGCCAAAGAGCCTCAAGGTCAGGACTCCCAATTGTGCCATCCAGAGGGCTGGTGACAGTATAGGGCCAATTTGCAGCCCCAACATCTGCTCTCTGGCAAAGAAAATAAGCAAAAGAAAACATGAGAGCTGTGGTAAGTAGACACTTCTGTTTAGTGTGCAAGGGCTGTTCTCTAAGAGTGCCCATGACATAAGTGCTGAACTTCAGGCTATGTGTACACACTGCTGCTTAGAAAGCAACCAGCCTGGAGCTGCTGATAGTTCTCTAGTGAAATGCTGAGGAGATTTTTTTAATATATTTTTTTAAGCCATCACTTCAGTTCAAAATTGCAAATGAGACAACCTGATTTTATGATTAAGGATATTAATACTTTCCATGGTGACAGTTCATTTCATTTGTATTGACTCCTGAAACATTCATGTTATTTTTCCACTATATTATTTACCAAGATTGAAGGAAACAAGATGAGTATTTGTGAAGAAATTGCATATTAACCTTTATATTCTCTTTCAAATGTAACTTTTCAAATTTGGCTGAATATCTGGAGTAGGTAGTCTCAGCTGAGGGGTTAAATTGCTTCTTTTTGCCTTTACTGATGTAACTTCTTCATAGCAGCACCATCCCAGTGTTTGCTGCTGTGAACCAAGACTCTGCAATGAGCTTTACTTTGAATTTGTCAATGGTTTTGCAACTGCAGCGAAGGATCAGTAGTGATTCACACAAGTCCTTGATAGAGCTTTTCTGCAGTTATTTTATATAACTGTTAGTAAGTTTCTAAAAGGTAAATAACACCTGTGGGGTAACTGGGCATCACAGTAGCTTTCTGATTAGGTTCTACATTAGGTTTTACATGGTGTTGCCCAGGGAAATGGCACCCAGAGCTTGCCTTGGACCACAGTGAAGGCTCTGAGCAGACCTCTTGTCTCCCTAGGGAGGTAATTTCAAAATAAAATTGCATCAGTGAGGGGTGGATCTGGACCCCCAGGCTGTATTTTCATCTGGTGATGAACAGCAAGAAGCAGTGGGCATCATCCTCTCTCCTTTAATTGTACAAATGAGATGTGTGCAGGAAGCTGCAGAAATAGCCCAGATTGCTACTCTGGCTGGCAGGGTGGGGATCTCCCCCCTGGCATAACGAGAGCAGCACCTTGCCCTGCTTCCCACCCCACCTCAGACCCTTGACAGCACCTACAGCTCAGGTGTCCCTGCCACCAACCCACTCCTGTTCCAGGCACTGCCACTGTGGCACTGCAGCTCTTCTATGCCCAAGGTGGCACAATGGCTTTCAGCATTGATCATGCTGTTTGGAGAAGCCTGAGATCCCAGGATAACTGGGCTCCAGTGCTGCACAGCAGCCTGGAAACACTAGAAGAAGACATCCTTCTCATTAAGGTTTAAACTGTATTAAAATGTAGGTAGTTCAATATTCAAGAGCTGAAATCCAGACTCTGAAGTTTATATCTTGTTTTCTCTAAGCCTGGCCTGTGTCCTGCACAAGAGAGAGACTGTCCTGTAAGTGGCACAAATAAATCAGTGATAATATATGCTGTTCCTTTTCCTGATTTAGTGACCTGTGGGACTTCTGCCTTCTCCCTCCCTATTCAGGAGGAAGGTGGAAACTGAAAAATTCGTTTGGTTTCATTTCAGGATAGTGTTGTTCATTTGGTTTCATTTCAGGATAATGTTGTTTGGTTGTCTCCAAAACCAAAGTGAAGAGTGGTGGTTCACCTATGCTGCCACTGTTCATGGGTGCACAGAGACCCAAGGGCTAATGTCAGTTATCTGACATTGGGGATGTTGATATTCAGTATCAATATTAAATTCTGAAAAGTGTATTATTTCTGCTGAGCCACTATGCTAAAGTATGGAAAATATATTTTACTTTATGACTGAATGCAATTTTCTCTGGATTTTCTTTTTAATTTTCAGGAAAGCAGGATTTTAATTCATTCTCTCCAGAATGCATACACTTAAAGATAACAGAAAACTTAAAATATTCAGATGCTGTTAGTGCAATAATGCCAGTCCAGAACACAGTGAGCCAGAATGTTCATTTCTCCTCCACTTTTTTATCCCATCAATCATTTATCATATCCTGATGATGTCCTACAGCTGAAGAGTAGGTGATGCTGTTCACTCCAATTTGACATGTCTGTTGAAGCATGTGAAGTGGAAAAGTCCTTAAAACTGCAGGCAGAAACTCTAAGAGATATTATATTTAAGCTTTTAAAACAATTACCTAAAGTATAAGAAAATGGTTTCTTGATCACCAGAATTTTAGATACTTGTTTTCTTCCTAGCAGCCTTGTTTGCTCTGCAGCTTGTGTATGTTTTATAGCATTTTGATTATTCAAGACTGAGATTAGTAATGTTTTTAATCTAGACGGTTTGATGATTACCTGAGGCCAGCAATTTTCAGGATTCAAAATAGAGGCTCTGGAAGATAGTGTGTCATGTTCATTTGGGAGCTTTACCAAAATAGATGTGTATCCTTGCTATAATCAAGCCTTAATGATTTCCAGAGAAAAACCAACTATGATGCAGGAGAGATCCAAGGAATAGAGGGAGCAGCAAGCAATGAACTGTGTGCTCTAGGAAGTCCTTTCTCTAAGAATAAGTTTTTAAAATAGTTATATTAATAGCTTAAACCAGCAGCTTTGCATATCACTTTAGATCTTGCTGTGCCCACAAGAACAACTGGAAGTCCATGCAATTGTAGGTGATTGATATTGTACAATAATGAAACCAAGGACATAAATTGCATAACTGAAGAAAAAAATGAATGTATGTAAGAGAGGTTCAGAATCTGGGAAATTACTCTGTCAGTATGTATTTTTTTTTCCTAGCAATAATAGTTCCTCTCACCAAATTCAGTAAGCAGCATGGTAAGCAGGATCAGGGCAATACATGTAACCCCATATTAACATGCACTCACATCCCTTTTCAGAGTAACCTCTCTTTTAAAATACAGATGGCAGCATTGTCTGAAATATAATTTTTAGCACCTTAAATATGCTAAGCTGAGGGGGGTTATACCACTAAATACTGTGGAGTAACTTCTAATTTTCCTGGTGTGAAATCTCAACCAGGAATAATTTTCACTCTTTTTTTTTTTTCTTAAACCTCTTATCAGTTTAAATATAGAAATTCAAAAAAATCAAATTCTGGCCATTGCCTGCTGAAATAGGTTTGTTCTCTCAGTTCCTGGACAAAGACTGCCCACACCACAGCTGGCAGAGAAACAGAAGTCCAAGGAGTCTTTCAAAGACTGATTGTGTGCAGTAGTGTGTCAGGGCCAGCACTGAAAGCCTGCTGGCATGGGCAACAGGTACAGTCCTAGTCAGACGTGGCTAAAACTTCCCCAGCTGAAGACTGGGTCAGAAGTTCTTCTGTTCTGGCAAGCAATGTTTGTATTTCTAACCTAGAGTTTTACAAGGTTAATTTATGCCAATGTTCAGTGCTGGGCTTTAGGGCAGGTGTCCTGTAGCAAGTGAAACTGCTGGTGGATATAGCAAATAAATGAGCTGATGAATGGGTGAAGGTCACAGTCACTGAAGGATGCTAGGACACTTCACACATATTTATTTCCACATAATTACTATTAAAATTCCTAAGGCAAATCAGTATCAGTCATGCCCACAATGTTGTCTCAAGCTGGACATTTTAAAATTTTCTCTCTCCTCAGTCAAACTTCCACCTGCTGTTTTACTGCAATTTTTTCTTCTGTCATTTTTCCAGGACCTGGGTCTAGCACAAGGAAAGAATTGCAGCCTTTTTGCACCTCTGCCTTCCTCCTCAAATTCATCTGCTTTGGTCTCTTGGATAAGCTCAAAGCCTTTGTTTTTAAAATCCTCTAACTGCATTTATGTCTCACATTGGTATTAGTCCATACACTGAGATTGTTTTCACTGGTATTTTGCCAACACCCTACCAAGTTCACACGGGCTGGATGCCCAGCAGCAATGGCACATTTTCCTGTGTTGTTACAGGAAAGCCACGATAACCTTGTAAATAAAACGCTGCCTTTATTATGTCATGAGAGCCCAGGCTTGCTGGAGGCTGTCTTTGAAGGGTAATTCAGTGATGCTATCAGAGCCAAGTCATGCAGTTAGTCATCCTCTCACATTCCTTCAGGTTTTAATTAAACAATTACTTTCCAGCTTTCCTTCAATTTCCAGGCTAAAAAATGTAGGATGTATTTCCTCAATGAAGGAGGAAGTCATTATCTGTTGCTTGGAGCCTAGACTGGAAAAAGTGTCACAGTTCCACAGAAAACTGTTAAAGTTCTTATGACTGAATTTGGGGGTTACTGCTTCATTCTGGAACATATTCTTGTCCTGTCTGCATAAGGTATTACAGATTTGAAGTTCCTTTGACAAATAACCTCAGGAATTGACTTAAACTCCATGTCTATTTTTTTATAAATGAAGAGAAAGAGCTGATGCCCCTGTGCTGGGAACTTAGAGGTTTAGCTAATTTTGTTCCACTGAATGATAGAAATATTTTTTTTATTACTACCATTAGACGAAGCAAATGCCCAGTATGTCTGCAAAGAATTAGGCAGCTCACTCTCATTTCATAACAGGAGACACACTTTGTGGTTTGGTGAAAGCATTTTGATAAAAAAGTCCTGATTGCACTAGGGGTAGGAATGGATGAGAGGCAGAAGAAGAAAGCATGAACGTGAAACTCCTTCAAAAGCAGAGATCCAAGTTAAGGAAGCCATGCAAACCTAATCAGGAGGCATAAGGTAGTGAAGTACAAAAGAAAACATTTCCCTTTAGGTATT